TATGTTCTTAACTGTTTGCCACGAGGAACAAGTTCCTGGGTGGGTCACCATCCGCTGCTTCCCTGATATTTCTAAAGATGGTACCTGACAACCTCCGCCTACCTCGCCGGCCTTAGGGACTCCTGTGTTCACCCCAACCAGGCTGCAGTCAGCCAGTGCGCCTGGCTCTCCTCCAGCTCTGCCCCAGCTTCACCTGCTCTGACCTCCTGTCCTCCACACGCTGAGGCCACACTGGCCTTCGATCCACAGAGGGGAAACTGTGGCCTGGAAGACATCAGCGTTCTTTCTGTGGTTGATGGCTCTTGGGRTGGAGCAGGACACATCTAGGCTCCAGAGCCAGCCCACTGCCTCCYGGCCACTCCACACATTTCCACATCCTCCTAGGCAGCTGCCAAGGTGTCCTCGTCCCCAGGAGACCAAGTGCAAGCTCATCACCACAAGTGACTCTCTTCTTCCATAGGCCAGAGTCAGCCTCCCCCTGTCTCCCACCACACTGATGGTTTGTCTTAGATTCCAAGAAGTCATGTGACTGTTCTGTGATTCTCTTGAAACCCTCGGGATGTACATGGTTAACCATTCGCATCTGGGCAGAGAGGCGTTGCTGTTAAATAGGAAGTGGTCATTCAGCTGTTTTCTCTCGGTGATTCTAGTATCTCACCGTGCTCTTCTTAATGAGCATTGGAAACTGCATCTGTTGGCAGGATGGTCCTCACACGGGGGGCGCTGGCCCTGGACCGTCCCTGAGGGGAGTGCAGCCAGCCACCCACTCTGGATCTCAGCGCTTTCTGAGGTGAGCACGCCCAGATCCCCTACTATCCTTCAAAACCTTCCCAGCTCCTTGGACTCTCACGACAGGCCCCTTAGAGAGCAGTGATTTCCCTCCTGGGTGTGGTGAGACAGCCGTGCTTACACCTACKGAGACACTTCACTTTCCTGAAGGCACCGTCCCGTGGTGTTCAGAGAGGAGTGTGTCTTACAGAAGCCTGCTCTTCTTCCAAGGGCACAGTGGCTGATTCTACAGTGACTGCCTCATACTGGAGCTTGGGCGATGATTTGGGCACTGCTTCTTCATGCGGGAGGTCTCTACAGGGCTTCATCTGCATAGAGATGCCAGTTTTTCTTTTCTTTTTCTTGGTTTGCAGTGCTGGGGGCTACACCCAGGGCCTTGCACACACTAAGCAAGGGCTCCAACATTCAGATACAACCTCACTCCTAGAAATGCTATCACTTTCTAAACCAAGCTCACAGAAAAGATGTTGAGACACTGACATTCAGCTAAGATGACTTGGGAGCAGTAAGGGGCTCAGGCCAGGCCAGACAGTGGGTGGGAGCCTTGGCGATCGATGCTGGGTTGGCAGGAGCTCACAGGGCAGTTTTTCCAGGGACCTGGTGGACTGGAGCCTCCAGGAGCATCCGTGTGATGCAGGCAGAGCTCAGAGGCCACAATCATGGTGGTGATGGAGTCCACACCTCCGACCAGGGAAGAGTGCATAAAGACAGTGAAGGCTTCAGGGCCACCTCCAAAGCCCAAGGAGGACAGGAAACAGAAATTGTGGGGACCAGCACCAGGAAGAAAGTGCAAAACGTAAAGTTGAAGTTAAAACTATTCTTGAATGGTAAACAAATCACTGGAAAAAACCTTCTGGCTTTTTCTTAACCACCCCCATTCAAAAGCAGAAGGAAGCTGGCCCAGACTTTTGGCCCCACTGATGTTTATAAAAGTGTAACAATGAGCTCACAAGTGACCCAAGTGAATYCAGAACATTTATTTATGGAACATGTAGTTAAAAATTTCTGACATCAGTAAGGAGTTTTAAAGTAAGTGAATTATTTTTACTTCTATCACTTCACTGTGGCAGTCTCAGAGGAATTGAAGGCTTCCCATCTGCAACATGGGTACAGTTCGCCCTGGAGTTTTTATGAGGTTAAAGAGGTAATAGATGTTAAGTGGTGATCTGAATACTCAGCATAGGGCTAGACCCTAATTTACAGTACACACACGTGCATCCATATATACATGCACCTATACATGCATGCACACATGAACACATTCACTTGTACACAGAAACACCCGTGCACACACACCTACACATAYACAAGCACACACATGCATGAACACACAACTACCCATGCATGCATGCACATGTTTGCACATACATACATATACACCTGCATACACATTAAAACAGCTGTGCATATATCCATGCACACATACCTGCAAACACATATACAAACATGAATTCACATACATTCATGTAACCCACTTGCATACATAGACACCCATGCATACACARTGCATGTATACACATACACACATACATGCACACATGTATTCACATACATGAATATTCATACACATCTGTACACATACATACTCATAAATTTCCATGCATGAGGTCATACATACACACATATATACCTGCACACACAGTCATAAACATGCACACATACACATGTACACACACCCATGCGCAGTGCTTCTTTCATTTTTCTCTTTGGCTGAGGGCCAGGAAGTCCAACCTTAAAACCCTCTGATTGGATTTAAAGAGCTGTTAACTTGTAACAAAATGTTTCCCAGTGTTTAGAGAATACTTTATTAGTTCCTGTAATTAAACCCACGGACTGACGGTTGTTTTTAAGCTGAAATTTTAGCATATTCTGATAAGTACTCTCCCTGGCTCTCACTTTCCTGGGTGGGGCAGAGGCAGGCAGTGGAAGCTGGCCCTCAGCCCTCCCACTGGCCATTCTCAGTCACCTCTCTCTCAAGGAGACTTACCCCTGGGTCCCACCTGCTCTGCTCCCAGGTCAGAGCCAACTGTGACTGACCCTCAGCTGACATGCCTCGAGGCCCTGGCTGCTGCTGTCCAGCCGAAGGTCTTCTTGGGTGGCCTTCCTTTTCTAAGTGGCCTAGTCCATCAGCTAGTACTTTTTTGAGGGACTTTCCTTTGCACACTACACCTAGACTGCTCAGTTTTTTTTTCTGCTGATTCTATCATCTCTGCCATTCTTCTGTTTCCTCCCGTAGATTACGGGCCGTGTTTTCCTGTTTCTTTATGTGTTTGGAAATTTCTGTTTGGTTGCCTGATATGTGAATTTCCATTAYTGAGGGTTGGTTTCCATTGCATTTTTCTACATCATCTTGGGCTGGTTCTAGAATGTGGCTATTCTTTGGATTGGAGGGTCCTTTGGAGCTCTGAACAAGCTTTGTCCTGCCCAGGGCACCTTCAGGGCAGAACTACGTTAGCTCCACACCCAGGGGCGCACCCTTTGGAGAGTGCAGTGCGGTACCCACGGAGTTAGGAGGGTGGCCACTCAGGCCAGTGGTRGGGGGAGCTGTCCCTCCTGGGGATGAAGTCTGCCCACTCCCTTCTGGCAGCTCTTTGTCCAGTGCCTGTGGAGTAGCTTCCTCCTGCAGAAATGCCTCAGCCGCACGCAGCCTGAGTGTTCTGCATGCAGCTCCTTCCTCTCCGCTTAGCAAGGCTGCCCTTGTCTTWGGGGCTCTTCTCACTCTGCTGTGGGACTGGTGGGGCTCACGTCATTTCCCACGTCACTAGCTCTCCCCTGCCAGGGGCCACAACCTGTGATGCCTATTGGCTCATAGCTGAGGGCTCGGATGATATTTTGTGGGTTTTTCTGTTTGCAAGGCAGCGTGGTGCGTTGGTCTCTGTACTCCACTGTGGGTGGAAGATGAGGCTGCGGTGGTGCTCTGGCTGCCATTTAATCAGATAATCTCACCAATAGGAATCCTTCCTCAGCTGCCTGTGCARCGGGGGGCTGGATGCCCTGCTTCTCCTGTGGGCTCCAGGTACTCAGAGCTCCGTACTCGCAGTGACTCCACGCCTCCCTGTCTCCATCGGGAGCAGGATTGAGGGGCAGCAGACGCAGGCCTGAGGCAGGACTCCGGGTGTCACAAACACACCTGAGAAATGAGGTCTAGAACTGAGCCCAGAACCTCGCTCGGGCTGGCCAGTGTCACCCTGCCATCCCCCAGGGTTAGGTATCCCAGCGACCGCATGCAAGACATGGTGCAGGGTGGGGGACCACAGGCAGGCGCAGGAGAAAGAGGCGGGGAAGGGAAGCAGGCAACATGAGAGGCACTTGGGTGATGGAGCTTACTGGGTGGTGAGTGGCAGCTGATGCATCAGGAAAGAGAAGAGTGTGGGAGATGGAGTTGGGCTCTTGCCTGCCCGTTCTCCAGGGACCAGACCAGAGCCTCCTCCTCCATCACCTCACCCCTTCCTTCCTTTGTCACTTGAATGTCTGACGACGACATGTCAGCCCAGCAGACAGTGTTTGTCAAGCGGGGCGTCTGCTGAGAGGTCTGCTGGGGGAGGGTCCCTGCCGGGGGAGGGTCCCTGCCCACCGTCTCCCCAGCCTGTGTCTTCCCAGTGTGCTTCCGGGACCCCTGCGTTCACAGCTMGAGAGATTCTTCCTGAAGCGCTCGAAGGCCCACGTGGGTGATGGTCACTGAGCTACAGTGAAGTCTGGAACCATAAATCACCAGTTTCTAGACACATCCTTAGTTTTAGAGATTGTGCTCAGTAGAATCTCCTTCTATGTAATTATATTGAATTTTGCATGAAAATTTTTGTGTAGATCACAAACTGGTTTTTCTGATATCACTCTTGGTTATGCCCTAAGATCAGGATCAGAAAATGACAGCCCCTGGCCAACCATGTGTGGTGAGCCCCGCTCCCTCACGTATTGCCTGAAGCTGCTTGCACACACCCAGAAGGCATTCAGCACTTGCTGTGAGGCCCCCTGCAGAGCCTGGGGACCGGCTCCGAGTGGGCACTGTTAGGTACAACAGTGCGCCGGGCCGGGTTCCAGGGGAGGGAGGCCTGCCCTTGGACCGCTGGCTCCAGAACCCCACTGTACCTGTCGTGCCTTTTGCCTCCCTAGTTCACCTCTGCTCTCCTGTTGCCCTGCTGGTAGCCGGCTCTGCTGAGCGTCCACTTCCCTTCCTACACCAGGCCTGTGTCTTCTGTCTTGATCAAGAAGGCCACCACAATGGGAGAGGTGAGAGTCCGTTTTATTTYGGGCAGGGGGCATGATTTTGGAACTGGTGCTACAGCTGTCTCTGTTCACCTGGCAGGAGCTGATGAACTCCACCGACAGTTACTACCCAACYGACGACTACCCTGAGCCGCTGGAGGACCCCGGAGCCTTGCTGTGCTCCCTGCAGGAGGTCCGGCAGTTCTCCAGGGTCTTCGTGCCAGTTGCTTACTCCTTGATCTGCGTCTTTGGCCTGCTGGGCAATACTCTGGTGGTGCTCACCTTTGCCTTTTATAAGAAGGCCAAATCCATGACGGACGTCTATCTCCTGAACATGGCCATCGCAGACATTCTCTTTGTCCTCACTCTTCCTTTCTGGGCCGTCACTCATGCTACCGACACGTGGATGTTCAGTAACGCCGTGTGCAAACTGATGAAAGGCATCTACGCGGTCAACTTTAACTGCGGGATGCTGCTCCTGGCCTGCATCAGCCTGGACCGGTACATCGCCATCGTCCAGGCGACCAAGTCCTTCCGGCTCCGCTCCAGGACGCTGGCGCACAGTAAAATCATCTGCTTGGCTGTGTGGGTGGTGTCACTCATCATCTCCAGCTCGACCTTCACCTTCAATCAGAAGTACAGCGTGCAGGGCAGGGACGTCTGTGAGCCCAGGTACCAGGCCGTCTCAGAGCCGCTCACGTGGAAGCTGCTGGTGCTGGGGCTCCAGCTGCTGTTCGGCTTCTTGGTCCCCCTGGTGTTCATGGTGCCCTGCTACCTGCTCATCGCCCGGACCTTGGTCCAGGCTCAGAACTCGAAGCGGCACAGGGCCATCCGCGTCATCATCGCCGTGGTCCTGGTCTTCCTGGCTTGCCAGGTCCCCCATAACATGGTACTCCTTGTGACCGCTGCCCAGATGGGCAGGGCAGGCCGGACTTGCCATGGCCAGAAGGTCATGGGCTATGCTAACAACGTCACGGAGGTGCTGGCCTTCCTGCACTGCTGCCTCAACCCGGTGCTGTACGCGTTTGTGGGCCAGAAGTTCAGGAACTACTTCCTGAAGATCATGAAGGACATGTGGTGTGTGAGGAGGCCGAAGGCTGCAGGCTCCTCCTGCGCCCGGATGTACTCCGAGACCTTCGCTTCCCGGCAGACCAGCGAGACCGCCGACGACAACGGGTCCTCCTTCACCATGTGACCCATGGMGAACTCGCCGAGAGATGTGAAGAGAGAGATCCACGGCCCAAAGCACGGCGGTGAKCGAACTGACCCGAATCGGGCCGGGCCGGGCTCCGCGCTCCTGGCCCTGGCCCTGTGCCCCCAGCGCTTCCCTCTGCCTGGGCGGGGGACTCTGCAGCAGCTTTCCCCAAGTGCTTGACAAGGAAGGACGGCAGCTCTGGGTCTCACGGCGCTGGGGTTCCACCAAACAGGCCTTGGAAACGTGGAAGTGACTTGTCTGCAAATATGAAGGTTTTCAGAGACTCTCCTGGAGCGGCCGTGGATCCCAGCCCCTCCTGTGGTGGCACAGAGGACCACGAGTTTGAAGAAGCCAGCAGAGCCCCTGCAACCCGTGTCAGGTGGACGCTGAACATCTCCTTACCCAGATGCTCTCTGTTGCTAATTGTCAGTAGCAAACATTCCATTTCCCTCTGAACCACTCAGGAAATGCCAGGGGTCAAAAGGTGGAAGAAAGACAGACCCAAGTGTTCATAAACTGGAACAGCCGTGGGGAAAGACGGAGGCTGACTGTCACTGGGTCACAGTGTCACAGGCAGGAGCACGTCAGCTCACTCTTGCTCCCCTCGATGCTGTTCTCTATGATAAACTTTTTTTTTCAACTGAATTCCAAAAATACAAACACATATGAGAAAAGTACTGACATGAACTGCAAAACTCCTGACATGTTTACTTCTGACACACCCAGTGTCTGAGATGGTATGCGGTTCTTATAAGCTTTAACTGCGTCTCTCTATAAACTGTAAAATACTGCCTTAAGATTCATCAAAGTCTGTATTTCAGTTGTCTTTTTGGCTTTGCAAAATAAAGCTGCTTTAGTGAAGTAGGACTTCTTTCAGCTTCTGTGTTCAGCCCAAGGAACCCTCTGCCCAGAGAGTGAGGTATTCAGGGCCACCATGTCCTTCAAAGTCACCACCAGTGTGCTGATACAGTCTGCAAAGACCAGCCTGGTGGTGGACGATGGGCCCAGAGACGTCTCATTTGTCCAGTGTGGCTGGACATGTGCTCTTCGGGTGGTTCCCGTTTTCAGATGGATGAAGGCGAGTCTCGAGCGACAGACGCCCCTGAGCAGGTCAGCCCCATGCCTGCTCCTAAAGGGCGCTGCCAGGTGGCGGTGTCCTCCTGCTGTGCTGGCATCAGACCAGGCAGGTGGTCCCTGCGTGAGACCCCCCCCCCCAGGCCACATAGCTCACGTTCTTAAGGCCCTGTCTCCACACAGAGTCCCTCTGTGAGATCCTGGGGCTCGGCTACCCACGTAAGAAAGGGGGCCAGGATTCAGCCCGCACCATTCGACTTGCCTCATTTCAAACACCCGAGACTTCCTTCCTAGGTGGCTTCTTCCTCCCTGATATTCCAAATATTCTTTCCCACTTCAGTTTCTCGGATGCATGCTCCTACAGAAAGGTGACAAAGGACAGCTGTGGTCCTGGGAGACCACAGCCACCCAGCACTTCTCCTCAGGACTCCCAGGGCAGCCTCCTCCCCTGACCCTACCCAGCCTCTCCTTCCCGTRTCCCCCCTCCTCCCTCCGGTTCTCCCATGGGTGCCCGTAGGGGAGTGGGGCTTGCCCCAACCCTGGGTTACTTCCATGTTCAATGCAGAGACGTCCCTCTTCTCTTGTGACGCAGGAAGGTGGCCTCCGCTGTGGCAGCAGAAAGCAGTTGAGGGGGTGTCTGTGGGTGCCCAGCCCCTGCCCACCACCCTGCGGTACAGACAGGTGGGTTCAGGGTGTCTCCACCTGCGACACTGTGATTCCTCGGGACCCACGTGAAGAGTGACTCTGAGGAGCTCCACCTTCCTTGCTTCTTGGAGAAGCTCGGTGCTCACTGTCGGTGCTCAGGCTGATGAAGGAGAGGCCACGGACCGTGGAGACGGGTGCGCCTGCCGGGTGGCTCTGCTGGGCCCCACGCGGCCTGCTGCCGTGTATCCCCATGTCAGGGTCCAGCGTGCTCCTCTCCCTGAGTGCGTTGCTCTCCAAGACTCCCTGGTGCTCTCTGAGGTCGACCATGGCAGCACCAAAGGCAGGGCCTGTATCTCTCCAACCCCTTGGGCATCAGGTAGTCCCCCAGACGATGCAAGATGACCAGCCAAGTGCTGCTGCTCCTGCAGGCTGTCCCACGGCCAAAGGGCTGCTCCCCCACCTCTGTCCCATTTCCATTCCAGCCAACAGAAAGAGGGGAAGGGGAAGCAGGTGGCCTGTTCCTTTTTTTCAGGGCAAAACCTGGAAGTTGGGGAACTCATTCTGCCCCAGCCTACTGGCCTTAGGTCAGTCATGTGATCGGAGCCAGGTGGGAGACCGTCTGGGAAGTGTGTCAGCTGGGCTCAGAAACCCTCCCCTTTTCCTTGTGAGTGTGATTTTTGATTTTTGCTGCATGTAAAKGATTCAGAGTTGTTATGGCCCGAGCAGGGCCGAGTCCTCATGCAGGAGGTCGTCTGGGGAGGGGCAAGGCAGGAAGGCAGATCTCTAAGGAAAGGGAGTCTCTTTTCCTTTTAAAAGTGTGTTGGCAGGTGTTGATTGCACAGATCAGTGGGTTCACTGTGGCATTTCCACACACACCTTATTGCTTCTTGATCATGTCCACCTGCCTTCTACCCCTTCCTTTCCCCAGTACTTCCTCTTTCAGATTTTGTTGTTTTTTTAAACATGGGATACTTTTTGCGGGGGGTGGGGTACTGGGGGTTGAACTCAGGGGACTCAACCACTAAAGTACACCCAGCCCTATTTTGTATTTTATTTAAAAACAGGGTCTCACTGAGTCGCTAAATCCCTCACCAAGTTTCAGAGGTTGGCCTTGAACTCGAGATCCTCCTGCCTCAGCCTCTGGAGCCGCTGGGATTAYAGGCAKGCGCCAGCCACMGAGCCCAGCTGGGAACTTCTAATTCGGTGTCTCACTTACTTTGCTTAACCTCATGTTCTTTATCCATTTGTTGCAGATGGATGACAGGACTTCCTTCCTCTCTCTGGCTAAGTGACCTCCATTGTGTACGCTGCCGTCTTCTCTTTATCCATTCATCTGTGGGTGGTTCCTGTGTGAGGGAGAGACATTGAGAAAATACTCTGCTGCTCACTTTGAAGGGAGGGGAAGCTGGCCTTGGAGGTGAAGAAGGGCCCTGGAGGGTGGCGGCTCAGCAGGCTCCCTCCTCCCAGGCTCCCCRCCAGCTCCAACCAGCGCTCACTTTTATTAAGCAAGCCTGTTCCCTGCCACCGGTGAGGATGGCTGGACTCRGGGATGGAAGATGACATTTCGGGTGCCTTCCTGACATGCAGGCTCTACAGTGAGCTGGCTCCTTTTCCAGGCTGGAGGATGAGGTCTCAGCCGGGGTGGTTCCCAGCCTCTGGAGGCACCTGGCCACATCTGCCCGGCCCCGGGCGTGGCTGCCCTCTAGTGGTGGGAGCTGCCCTCCGGCCGTCCAGCGCTGGGCTTGCTGAGCCCACGGGCTCGGTTCAGAGAACAATCTTGTGAGTTTCAATGGGGAAATTTAAAAGTTTATTTAGTTTTTTTTTTTTTTTTAAGAGAGAGTGAGAGAGGGAGAGAGAGAGACAGAATTTTTTAAATATTTATTTTTCAGTTATCGGCGGACACAACATTTTTGTTTTTGTATGTGGTGCTGAGGATCGAACCTGGGCCGCACGCATGCCAGGCGAGCACGCTACCGCTTGAGCCACATCCCCAGCCCCAAAAGTTATTTAGTAAAGCAGATATATAAAATTAATAGAATCTTACACTGCACTCTCTAAACAATGGTCTAAATTCTTTAGAAAGATTACCAATTTTAAATAACTGACAATACTCATATACTAGGAGATTGCCACGTAGATATACTTACTGTTAATGCTGTTATTTGGTTCTAAGGTATTTGCTTCAGCCACACCATATGTATATGTCTACGTATGAGGATAAATGATATACAGTGAGATTTAGGAATAGAGAAGCTGTATATTTTATGATATATATTATGGGATAATTTTAGAGGTCTTGTAACTAATTAAGAGAAAGTTATTTATATGTAATCTCCACTCAGCAGTTAATGAAGATGAAATTCTAAAATTTAGTAAAAATGTAAGGAAATTTCATACCAGCATCTTCACTTCCAGAATCGGGTGCATCTGAATCTGTTTTCCTCTGCTGAGGCAGGAGGATTGCCTTGTGGGGACGCCTAGGGCTAGGTGTGGCATATGGGTGAGCGAGTGACCATCCTTCCTGCCGGGTCCCGTGGAGCCGTGGGTGGGAGCACAGGCCAGAGGGCCAGCCTGCCTTTAGGAAAGCTCTTCTCCAGGACTGTCCAAGGGCACCTGCCTGGAGCCACTGTTCGCTGGCCCCCAGGGCCTGGCTTTTGGCCTCTTCCTTTGTCCTTGGAGAGCATGGCAGAGATGACGTGGCTGGGAGTCAGGGACTCCAGGCCACCACGTGGGAACAGCATTGCTCCAGCTTTCTGAGCTCCCTTCCCTCTCTCATTGGTCACCCCATCAGCCAGAGCCTCTGATCTTGGTGGTGGACAGCTGCCCACCAGACAGACCCTTTTCCTGTGCGTGTGCAGACTTTGTCCCACCTTCTGGAAGCACAAGGCTCCCGTGTCCAGCCCTGGCCAAAGACACCTGAGTCCCAGGGAAGCTCCCAGCTGTGGCTCTGGTCTTTGCTTTTTCTGTGGGCGGAAGGTGGGGCTGCAGGGCCACCTTGGGAGCCTGCTGCTGGGAACGCAACTGGCTGAGTCTGAACTCCCACCCCAGCCGGGACCTGGCACTCCTGCRTGATCCAGCTCCCAACCCGCCTGCACTCCGCGTGGCACAGGGCGCCATCACCCAGCGCCTGGCGTCCTCCTCCGTGCCCAGCTGCCCACCCAGCTCTGCCCTCCCCTTCCACTGGCTCCTCCCCCGCCCCTCCCCCCTCACGTGTGACTGCCAACGCCCCCTCCCTCCCCCCTCATGTGTGACCGCCAACACCAGCTGCCAGTTCACTGAGG